AGTACCTAGGTACTTCAGGAAGCTTGGGGCCTGGCATCCTAGAACCACAGGCAGCCACTCAGCCGACGCCTTGATTTCAGCTTTGTGCCTATGTCCCTGGGCTAGCGAGTGTCACTAGCTGAGCTGAAAGCATTCATAGGTCTGCTGTACTTTGCAGGAATGGAAAAGACTCATGGAAAAGTGACGGGTCAAAATATGGCATAAAACTTATGCCCTTGCATGAGCCAAACACGTCCACTGGAAGAAAGATAGCCTCTTTAATAAAGGGTGCTGTATAAACTGGCTTTCCGCATGCTGAAGACTAAAACTAGACCCATGCCTATCACCACGCACTAAAGTCAAACTGGATCAAAGATCTAATATTGAAACACTAAGTCTACAGGAAGAGAAAGTAGGTAGAAATCTTGAAGACAGAGGTAGGCAGAGAGTTCATGAACAAAAATCACACTGCACAGAAAATACTTCAAAGAATCAACAACTGGGATCTCATCTTATTGAAAAGTTTTCATACATCAAAAGAAATCACTAACAGGGTAAAAAACAAAAAAACATGAATTGGGAAAAAATTTTAGCCATCTGTCCCTCAGACAAAGGACATCTAGAACATAAACAATTTTTTAAAAGAGCCCCCAAATTCAAAGACCCAATTAAAAATGGGCAGCTGATGAATACACGCTTCTCAAATGAAGAAATATATGAGAAAATATTCACCATTGGTTATTCAAGAAATGCAGATTAAAACACTGAGATTTCCACCTCACCCCAGAAATAAGGGCTATCATAAAGAAACCAACCAACAAATACTGGTGAGGCCGTGGGGGAAAAGGAGCCCTTCCCTCCAATGCAGAGAGTGTAGGCTGGTGCAACCACTGTGGAAATCAGTGTGCAGAGTCCTCAAATAACTAGGATTAGAGGTTCCATTAGACCCAGCTATTACCCCTTTTGGGTATTATTCTAGAATAATTGAAAACATCATAGCACAGTGATATATGTGCACCCATGTTAATAGCAGCACAATTTGTCATAGCTAAATCTTGGAAACCACCCAAATGCCCATTACATGAAGAATGGATAAAAGAAGATGTAGTATTTTCTATTTTTTTTTTTCCCAGTACCGGGAATTGAACTCATGACCTTGCACTTGCCAGGCAAGCACTGTGCCACTGAGCTAAATCCCCAGCCCCAAGGTGTAGTATTTTCATACAATGGAGTATTACTCAGCTATAAAGATAAACCTGAGGCTTTTGTAGGTAAATGGATGCAACTAGAGACCATACTCATAAGTGAAATAAATCAGACCTGCATGTGTAAACACTGTATTATCTTCCTAGTGTAAGAAACTAAAAATAAAATCCAAAAGGTACAATAGATGCTGTGAAAGGGAAAGAAGACTGCTCAAAAGAAAAGAACTGGGATGGGGGAAAGGAGAAAAAGTTACATTTTACACACACACACACACACACACACACACACACACAATACATATACACACAGAAGATAGCTATTTCTATTTATTGAAAGAAATAGTGCCCGATTGTTCAATTTTGCATGCCTATATCTGATAATCTGAACAACTACTTTAAATGTGCAATTTGACAACCATTATTAATTTCTTGTTTTGAAATTCTGTATCTTTTTTGTTAGCTTTAAAATTTTAAAAAACTTATTCCCTTGTAGATCGAAGACTTACGGTTTCAATTTAGAAATTTATCCCTGCAGTTAGACCTCGGGTCCTTATTTATACAGTGTAGGAACTGCATATGCAGGAACAAAGCAGACATTCCAAATGACAGGTTGCAATTTCAAGACAGCGGTATAGAATAAGCTTCGAATATCAGATTTACACTGGCCTCATCGATGGCAAAGAAAAACAAATGAACTGCTGATGTCAGCATCGGACCCTGATGGAACGACAGAAGTATTGATAGGGATACTGTGACAAGAAAAAGGAAGCCCGAGCTAAAGTCTTTCTACAACAAACCAAAAGTGAAGATGCTGACATGTTTATGCAGCACCCATGATGTCACTTGAAACAAAGCCTTGGCCAGTGGTTCTCTTTCACTCTGTCCTAAACACGGGTGGCATAAATAGCTTTTGTTTACAAAAAGAAAAAGTGCAAGATACCATGGAGAAATTTTCTTAAATGATTCACACTGGAACTCATAAGAGATCACTTACAGCAGAGAAAAAGCAATGTTTCTGCCCAGGGAACTACACAAAAAAATTGTGGCACACACTGGTGACCTGACAGCTGAACAGGTGGGTGCAGCATCTCAAAGACCTACTATGACAACAGAAAAACCAAGATGTCAACTGTAGCCTACAAGAAAAGACAGGAAAACAAAATGTGTGTTATCAGTGTGATACAAAACGTGTGTTATCAGTGTGGCTGGAACATGCAATTTCCAAGTGTGAAAACTGCCCTGAGTGTGACAGTTGAAGCAAAGATTGCTGTGGCAGACCTGTTTGCATTTACACTGTAGCTCACATAGGATTTTATTTCTGATGCTCTCTTAGGTTTTTGTAAGTACATAGCTGGTGTGACAATGTTGATGTTTATTCTAAACATGCAATACATTAAGAACGTAATACTTTGATGTTTTGTTTGTTAACTACACATTGCATAATATAACTGACAAAACAGCAAGACCACCGAGATGTCAATTATGTCCTACAAAAAGCTAGGAAAGAAAAACACATGTGCTATCAGTGAGATATGTGTATGGAATGTGCTGTTGTCATGTGTGAAGATTCCCTTAATCGTGACAATTGAAGATTTTTGTATTTTCAAGTAGGTCACACATAGGAATTTTGTAGACTTTGTACACCAAAAACTAGTCGATGTTGAAAATGGACGCTTTGTGATTTTTCCTGTTAATCATTGCTTAATAAAACTCAAAGTGAAAATTCAATAGAAATATTTCAGAGAACATGGGTTTGACACACCCATGGTTATGCCCCTTTATGACAAAAAGGTGTTATGCCCTTTATTAAATCTGAACCTCTGTCTATTAAAACAGGCTCTCATCCCAGT